AATATTAAAGTAATACGCGTAAAACTTAACGCTAAGCAAGCAAGCAAGTTAAGTGCTTAACGTGCATTAAGTTTAATTAACGAATTTTTCTTTTCCTTTTTTACCTCTCCTTTCTATATTATTTTGTTTTCCTTTTTTTTGCGATAACCTACAGTACCTTTTTTTTGTAGATATAACCTCTGTAACATTTGTGTGCGAAGAATTATTAATAAGTAAGCCAGGTGGGATTTTTTTTTTTAAATTTGTTATATATAAAAATTTAGTATCACATTTTTGGTTTTTAATGAATTTCGAAACTACTGAACCGACCTTAATGAATTTTTTTTTAATTTTAAAACAACTTAGAATATAGGATAATTTTTAGCGATATTTTTATTTCTTTTTGCTAATTTAAGGATTTATTATTTACAGATTATCTAGGTCTCTAGGTTGTTTAAGTATTCAATAGATGACGTCGTATTTCAATTAAATTATTTCAATTTACATACGACGTAACCTTACTTTTTTTTATTTTTTTCATTTATTATTATTTTATGTATTCCATTCTAATTGTGTGTTGTTATAATTAACTAAATAGTTTAGAATTATGTTAAATCAACATTTTATAACAAAACCATAGTAACGCGTGATCGTAGCATCCTATTATATGTATATACATATAAAAATTAATTCCAAATAAGATTATGTTTTGTATTGATAACATTTAGTCAAATATTTAACTCGTATTCTTTAGAAACTAGTTACTTGTAATGTGATTGGCTCAGAACTTTTCAACCTTCTTTGTGTTCGGCTCAGAACTTCTCGATCCTTCCTTGTGTTCCTCTCAGAACTTTTCAACCCTCATGTTGTTAGACTCAAAACTTTTCAACCTATGTATATATATATATATTCATAAAATCTTATAGAGAGAGCATGGATTCATTGATAATGGGGGTAAGATTAAAGATAAATATTAGATATACCGTATGAAATATTTGAAGATAAAGAAGATGATGAAAGAAAGTCCTCGTAATACCCAATTTAACGTTAATATCGGATAGCGTTCGTGCGAGAAAAAGGGACGACCACGTGTTCAGACTTTCCTTATGTTTTACGATGGTCATCGATCCTTTCCTGATACTTTTTGCTAAACTTATAACTTCATATCGGTTTTTCAGAACGTGGACAGCACTGTGATACCTTTTGACACAGGCCAAATTTTACAATTTCGATTCTGCTGTTGTTGTGCTATTGCTATAGATTATCTTATGGTTATCACAAAACACGTTCTATCAATATGATTGCATTACCAAGATTACAAAAAAATTTCTTCAAAAATTCTTATACCACTACTTATAAAATAACAATTTAAAAAAAAACAAAAAGGGTCCACAAGACAAGTTAATGTGAATTTTTATCAATAAATTCTCGATACATTAAATAAATATATATTTTTGAAATGAATCTAATAATTGAATTTTAAATTGAATAATATCACACATACACACACACGCATATACACACCTACACATACATATACATTAATTTGGATCGTAGAAGATATATTTACCAAGGGTAGATAGATTTACCTTGGTAACTATTAATTAGGTGATCACGTACATACGTAAGTATTACGAACGTTGCCTCTCTAAAGCATGTTACTTTGTAATGGCTAATGACATGGCCTACCGAGTAACACGATGCATTAAAATGCACGCGTGACAGGACTATAAGCCGCTTACTATCCGCAATACGGACGCGGTTCATATTTAATCGGTGCCTAGAGCCACGTGTCTACGGGCTAATGAAGTCGAAACTGTAAGAGGATCAGGGCTCAACCGCGGGGAATAACCTTGGGCCCTTTCTCCTAGATATAATTCCACATGAAATTTCTAATTGTAATTTATTTAAACAAAACGAGATATTTTACAAAATTACAATTCGTTCGATTGACTTTCAATTGATCTTCAATTATATTTTGTTTCGTATTCTTTTTTTTGTTCTAAAGCAAACCAAGAAGACAAAAACGAATCACATAAAATCAAATCGCAAAATAATATAAGTATAATACGTGTATCGAATCGTTTAGGTTAAAAAAATATTAATTAAATATTTAAATGAAATATATTTGTAAAGTAAATGATTTTAGGATAACGTTTTTATTTTTTTTTAAGTTTCGATTGTCAACGATATTCCATTCTTAAAATGTTTTATCGTTTATATCCGTGCAGGTGATTTTCAAAACGGCACGCGACCTGGGGAAAGTTAACGCACGCGAGGCTCTTTTCCACGGTTGATGAATGTGCGAATTGTAATGTAGACCTTATCTCTCGTGTCATGCTACTACAACTTTTACACGGGCCACGTCGCCGTTTGTGTTAATCCTTTAAAACGTTTAACGCTAATGTTTCCTGTAACACCCACTTAACAAATCAATATAACGCGTGTTTTCGTAAAATTACCAACGATCATCGATCTGTATAATATACGTGATTTATGCGTGAGTATAATATTATCATCCTTGAATATGAGATAATCAAATAAAATTTTGTATCAGATACGTTAATCGAATATTTATAATTAATCCCTTTAATATATAGGTAAATTTTTTCTTTTAATCAAGATTTCTGTCAAATTGAATTTCTTCACGCGTGAAACGAGAGAAATATTATGAATCTTTTAGCGAGAATATATTCACCAAGTATGTGAAAATGATAAACTTTTTGATTTAGTTGAAAATCAAAACAAAAAGAAAAAGAAAAAAGAACCTAAAACATCTCTTCTACTAAGTATAAATATAATACTTAAGTGTAAATAATATTTACAAGTATAAATAATACTTTTTGAAAATCGATAGTTTACAATTAACTCTTTGGCTACATTTGACGTATTAATACGTCATGCATTTGTTTAGACAAAGACGCACATGACGTTCTGATACGTCATTGAAACTGAGACGAGATTTAACTAGTTCATTCTGGTTTTTTCAAAGTAATGCATAATTTTAATATTATTATATTAATTATTATAATATTTAATGTTATATTTAATATTAATTTAAATTATAAAATTTCAAAGTAATTTTCAAATAAATGTGTATCCAAAGGGTTTATATTTCTTTCTCTTTATTAATTTTATTTTTCTTATTTTTATCTAATTTTTTCCATTCCTTTTCTCTCTCTCGGAAAAAAAGAACTTAATCGAAAAAAAAAAAAATAGATAGAGTAAAAAGTATAGTTCTCTCAAAATTCTCGGTTGCTTTATCTTCGAGTTTACGTGCTTCCGAAGATATAAGCTTCTTCGTAATGTCAGCGCGATACAAATATACCGAGCGTAAAACGAGTGTTGGCGTTCTTCGCAGGTAGAAACTAAACAAGAGCGACATTTGCATTTTTATTAAGACACGTTTTAGCCCGTGGTGCATCCTACCCAACCCTACCCACTATCCTCTTTCTCTAGCACCCCGCTTCACCCCCTCACCCCGTCTGGTCGAGTGACTTGGGATTCGAATGAAACGAGCCACGTTGAATTAACCCTCTTGATGTTCAACGAAATAGGTCGTAGCGAAAAACTACGTTAGTTGTTGCACGTTCAAATGAATATAACTCATACATATACATTTGATGTGTATACGTATACGTATATACAGAATGAGGTATTACAAACTTTGATAACCTAGAAGAGGGTGGTGGGGTAGCGGGGGATGATTTATATTGACGATTGAAACATTTATTTGTTGCCATCATTTTTTTTACTGTGTTATCTATCTTTGCTTCTATTAAAAAAAAAAAAAAGTAAAAGGATACTATTGACGCGAAATTATTATATCATACAAAGAAACCCCCACCCCACCCTCACCTCCCAGAGTACTCATCGTAACAATAGTAGCACAAAAATATTTGTTTAATATTTTTTTCAAATATTGTAAAAATATTTTTTAAGCCACACTTTTTAATATGAAAGAATTCTAAATATTGTACATATGTACATAAAATGTATAATAAACGTTCAGAAAAAATAATTAAATATTTGGGGACTATAAAATAGATATTTAAAAAATATACAATAGATATTTGCAAAATATGTATGTAATATGGATCTAATATTTAAATTATAATGTTTAAATTTAAAAAAAATTAGAAACGACCGAATTCTAATTATAATAATACATTATTTAACTAAAGTAACACACACTATAATACAGAACACTGATTCAAGATGTTCGCTCGATGAACGTTTGCTCAGATTGAGCTTGTATTCACTAATGATTGAACCCGAGACTACCCGAAAGGCCCGACAATGCACAAAGGTTTTCCAATATGTTTCGATGATTGTTGCGTTTGTTTTAGGAATTTATGGCCCTCCAGAATATTTTTCTTAACACGTTCGTCGCCATGTCACCATATACGGTGACGGGTATGCTTCCTCGGGAGCTTCGTCACCGCATACGGTGACACTCTTCTTGTTGAAGTTATAGGATTTTTAGTTGGATTTTTAAAAGGAATATATAATGGAATTAACACTAACATGTAAATATAGACTGTACAACATAAAAATACTAAAAATATACAAAGTATACTATACTTTTTATTACTAAAAATATACACATTACACTATTCTTTTTATTAATTTATATAAGATAACTATGTCGCATGTTTTTCGTGAAAACACTCTAAACACATTTGAGATGATTTTGGACAATTGGAGCAATATGTTATGATTCTTTTTAGATTTTTTCTCGCTTTTTGGCGCTCAGTAATTCGCCTCTTCTTTTTGTAACATAGGGTGCTCGCTCTTCTTATAGGGTTGCCCTGCTGATTCTTACGAATGTCTAAACGGTGGAAAACGTTCCTCAACATTTTATTTCTATTATTGTCAAGCACAGCATTTTCCGAGAATAACAATTCGGTAACGAGAGGTTCCCGAAATTTTCTAATTTTTATTTTTTTACTTGTGGTTCTCTGATACACGATGTGAGCATTTACTATACTTGTTCCTAAAATCAAATGTAGCGCTAATTTTCAATTCCACTTGATACCTTTGTGTATCGTTGTGGCATATGACACCAACTGATCACTTCTGTCAATGCCAATTTCCCTTTTATTATATGCCAGTATCGCCAGAGGTTTCTGTTTCGGAGGACGATCGCGGTGAGTAGAATCCGAGCTTGAACTCATGATAGGTACATGCTTTGTTGATAACATCCTAACATCGCGAACATCTCTCGATTTTAGCACCACAATATCGTTGTCATCTTCTCGTGCTATCATTTCACCTTTCTTTAATGGGTACGACATTACAAAACGTGGCATAAATTTTTGGTTGTGCCGTTCAATTCCAACGACATGCGTTTTGAATTGTAAAAATTTGACTACTAATTCGTAACTAGTGTAAAAGTTGTCGACAAACAAACTTCGTACCTCATTTAGTAGTTTATTTGCAAGTTCAATGCAGACGTTTTCGGCGATACCAACTTGCCTTCTTCCGCTAGTATCTCGTCCAGAATATACCTTCTTAGACCATGTACATCCTTCAATGGAGCGCAGTTTGAAAATTTTTATTCCATACTTGAGCGATTTCGTTAGTAAATATTGTTTGAATATTACTCATTTCCTCCAAAGAACCAATGTCTCGTCGACTACAATATCTTCGCCTGGTGAAAAGACTTTTTGATAATTGTGTGTCAATATGTTTATGAGTGGAAAAACTTTTCCAAGCCTGTTATTCTCTTCTATCGTTTCGTTATTTGCCATATGTAAGTTTGATAACAGTAATTCAAAACGATTACGGGACATCTTGCTCTTCGGAAATGGAAAGCAAACAAACAAAATTATTTGCGATAAATAGAAGATAGTTTTATATTTTATTATTTTCGGTAAATAAAAGATAATAATATAATATAACCATAATACACTCGGGTCGCATTGTTGATATTCCTATTCATAGCTTCTTTACGTTACGGCGCGCCGAAAGTCGGATTTGGGCCTGGCGAGAAACTGAACGGAATCGGACTGGACGACAAACGTGTTATTCTTTGAATTATATTTTTTCTTAAGTAAACGATACCTTATGTCTACTGCCTATCTTATTTTGTTCAGTATCAAATCCATTTGTCGACGATAAGCTTAATATTTAGTTATTTTTCTTTATATTCAATTTCTGTTGGAATGTGCTTTCGATTTTACTTAGTTGAACAAAATTCTGCAATAATAGTATATTGTGCAACTAGTGCGAAAATTTGTCGATTGCCCACAAGAGCGAAGTTGAACGCACTCGCTTCGCTCGTGGGCAATCGACAAATTTTTGCACTGGTTGCATATACTATTTTTTATTACGAATACGGGGACATATTTCGTACATAATTGAGGTCCAGGGGCAAAGCCCCGGTGGTGGCGGGGAGGGGGTGTAGCCCCCTTCTCCATAAAACAATACTGAAATAGTTAAAAAATTTTAAGTAAATTTATTTGCATAACGGAACTTCGTTTTTTTTAAACAACGGAATATCGTTTTCCCCCAATTTCCAAGTGGAGTTTCCTTTCACCAAGATCGATACCGTATTCGAACAGGAAATAAAATAAATGAAGAACTAAATATTAATCTTATCGTCTAAGATAGTATTTTTAAACAAGAAATAAAATAAAGAAAGAACTACATATTAATCTTATCGCCTACAATATTGACACTTTAATTGTCTTTTTCTTATCGTCAATTTGCGTATGTTAAGTATAATTTGGGTGCGACAAGTTTTCGCATTCAAATTGACATTTAATTTACTCAAAACACGTGTTGTAATTGTAAAGTAGGCAAACAGCGTCTTTTCGACCCTAATAGCGACCGCAAAGATAGTACTTTTCCCGCATGAGTAATAAAAACATATAAAATAAAATATCATAAAATATGTTAGCGCGCGTTAAAATATATGGGTGCATTTTTGTCTGCATGACCATAAAGGCCGTATACATCGAATTAGTCAGCGATCTGACTACTGACGCGTTCTTGGCTATTTTTCGGCCGTGTATGAGCCGAAGAGCAGTTCTGACTCACGTTTATTCCGATAACGGGACCAATTTTGTCGGGGCTAATAACCAGTTAAAGGAGTTATACGACATGAACGAGTCCGATGTGTACAAGGCGAAGGTACATGATTTCGCGGTAGATCATAGAATCTTGTTGCATTTCAATCCTCCCCTATAAACCTCAATTCGAAAGTTTGTGGGAGGCTGCCGTCAAATCTTTCAAACACTATTTTAGGCGAGTCGTGGGCGAACTTCTCTTCACGTACGAAGAGTTGACCACATTCTCGATCGAAATCGAAGCTGTTTTGAATTCGCGCTCACTAAGTCCTATCTCGTTAGATCCGAATGACGAAATAGCATTAACTCCTGCACATTTTTTTGTTGAAAGACCAATTACGACACTGCCGGAGGAAGATTATTAAGACTCCAGCAAATCGAATATCTTCATGGAAGCACATCACGAAAGTATGACGAGACGCTAGAAGGCGACGATGGTACATCGAATATCTACGAGAACTGCAAAAACGCCAGTAGTGGATACATCCCCCATAAAATCGAAAAGGACACTATCGTCATTCTCATTGACAAGAGTCAACCGTGCATGAAATAATTGTTAAGACGGATCGTGAGAGTGCATCCGGGAAAAGATGATGTAGTAGGAGTAGTCACCGTGAAAACTGCACACGGAGTTTTAAAGCGAAATGCGACCACTATTTGCCCGTTGTTAGATACTCGTTAGATTTCTTGTATTGTATCTTTCAGAATTGAACTATTAATACTTGCGTCTACGACTGATAATCACTTTTATTGTACGTACAAGACGAATGGATCGTCTGGCTAGCGATATAGTATTATGTTAAGTAATTTGCGAACGAATCGCAATACATAACTTATTATAAGGACTTCACGTCTCACTCACACATACTACGAATGTTATTGATCGTTACACTATCAACGGGGGTGAGTATATACGAACCGAAATGATCGTACGGCAACTAGCTGTATTCGAAATGTGCGCCACCGATTCTATCTATTACGATTCTAGGTCGATACTTGTTACGCTACAAGCGAGTATCAAAGCATAACGATAGCCACCTCCACCTCTCGCATCCCCATCTGTCACATCCCCGCCTGTCACATCCCCGCCACATGTGTCCTGCTGGGCCTGTTCAAAGGGATACTCGTTCTATTTCATCACTGGACGCCTATGACGATACATCTTCAGCACCTGAGGACCAAAGAAGGTAACAAGAAACAACAAAGAACTCTAAGGATTCACAAGAAACAACAACGGAACACTCCAACTTTTACGGTTGTGGTCACCATAGGCGAAATCTACACCCCAACCTTTACGGTTGCGATCGCTATAAGCGAAACGTGCGAGAGGAAAGAGGGACCGTAAGCGAAGCGGAGAAGAGGTGAGATACAAGTTCAGTCTTAGATAGTACGCCATTCGTTCTTATATTCTACATATCAATCAGGGTTTTTATATCACAAGGCTTTTCACTGACGAGCCAATAAAGCATTGCATCTTTGACTGTCTCAACCCAAGTTTTATTTCACATTTTAATTCAACCCTTTATCCTCCTCATCATAGAAAATAATCATCGCCAGAGGACTCCATGTTGGAGAATTTTGTGCAAAGCAATGATAGTAAAATATATAACAGTGGTAACACTAAATGTCGAAAATATCTTTTTCTACCTCTCTTTCTATCTCTCTCTTTTACTCTTTTTCGCGCGGCAGCTTGAAAAATAACGGAAGGAATTAAAATTCTCCTATCTTAAGTTAGAAACATTAATACGTAAGGTTAACTTTTTCAGACTTTTAATACTTGCAAATCGACAATGTTTATAATTATTATATCTAATAAGTGAATGAAAATAAACACTCGTTGAAAGAATGATAAACCTACAAAAAATTGATATATATTCAAAATGATTGATAATCATCAATTTGTTCCTAAAAGCTATCCTGTATCCATAAAAAGGAAGGATAAATATGACAAAATTTGGTTTGAAATATGAATTTTGCAATTATGTACTGTTTAAAGTGAAAAAATTATTTTAATTTAAATATTT